TTATAATGTTGTTACATACATTGTTAATTTTTTTTCAATAACTGTGCTTGGGTATTAAGTGATTTTTTTATAAATTCCACACCAAACATTTTATGTGTGTTCAAGTCGCTGTGCTGTTTGTACATAAATAGATACAAATTTAATTTGTTTTAAGTTCTCCATACACTTATTTCTGGTACCTAGGTACTGCTTATTTATTACTAATTCTTACACTAACAGGAAGATGATTTCGAACCACTTCATTCATTCCTCTCTCCACGTTCATCTTTAGGTAATTATATTTTTAAATTAAAATAAACTAAAACTTAAACGAACTAAAGCTCTGATGAAATCAAATTTAACAGTTCAAAAAACTAGGTATTTTATAAACGAGCTGAAAACTCAATTTAGTCAACTGCCAATGCACCAAATTACACCATCACTCATTCCGTCCTAAACATGATTAATGTAATATTGTAGTATAATACCAGTAGACTTATGTCAAATATTTATTTTATGTACAGTATTTTGAGCTAAATTACTTTTGTTCATAAGTGTAAGTTTCTAATGGCATGAAAATAAGTATTTCAGGATGCCGTTTCAATTTAGTAATGAAGAATATGCAGACATTATTTTTGTGTTCGGTAGAGCAGCAGTAAGAGAGTATCGCAGACGCTTTCCTAATCGCCGTTTACCAAATTTTAAAACATTTTTACAGGATTTCGAATTCAACAGTTAAACATGATCATGCTCCGAGAAATAATCTTCGACAAGAAGAGTAGATACTACAGATAGCTAGAAATAATCCTTGTATCAGTGTAAGAAGAATTAGTTATGAATTAGCAGTACCGATAACAAGAGTATGGAAAACTTTAAAAAAAGAAAATTTGCATCCATTTCATGTACAAAAAGTACAGCGACTTGAACACGGAGATGACGTACACCGCTTATCTTTTTGTAGATAAACTTTGACCCATAGAACGACAATATCAAAAATTTTATTTACTGATGAATCACAATGTATACGAGATGGGATCAATAACACTAGGAATATTTGGGCAACTGAAAATCGTCACACTGTATCACAAAAACATTCCCAATATAGATTTTCTATAAATGTATGGTGCGATATTTATAAAAATCATTTAATAGGCCCTCATGTTTTTGAAGGCAGATTAACGGCTGAGGTTTATTTTAATTTCCTTAGAGACATCCTGCCAAATTTGTTAGAAGGGATTAATACCAGAGGAATGTGGTTTCAACACGACGGTGCTCGACATCATTTTCAAATACTGGTCAGAGACCATTTAAATCATCGTTTCCCAAATAGTTGGCTATCAAGATCTCCAGATCTAACACCTCCGGATTATTTTTATGGGGCTGCCTTAAATCAAAGGTGTACAACGAAGAAATGAATACCCGAGCTCAAAAAATTAATAATGTATGTAACATTAAAAATAAACCGGAAATAATTGAAAAATCAATGAAAAACCTGTTAAAAAGTTCGCAAAGGTGTATTGACGTTCACGGTGTTCATTTTGAAAATCTACTTTAGTTTTAATTAATTATTTGTTTCTGTTAGTTTGTTCTGTTAGTTTATCAAATAAAGTGAGCCCAGTCCTGTGTAGATATTCAATTTCTTATTGGAAAATGCAGCAGTTAAAAATAAATGAAGATGGTACCTAATTTGTGTAGAGTTTTAAAAGTACAGAGTAAAATATTTGATTTTAATATTGTAAATACTGATTTATAATATTGTAGTCGCCATTATAAAAATTAACTGTAAGAAAATCAAGATGGTGCCATTAAATATTATTACATTATTTTATTTATTGATCCATGTACTATCTAAATGTGCAGTAACATTTATTAAAATCCAATATACAGGGTGATATTCTAGCCAAGAAGAGTAATATAAAAAAAGAGAGTCCGATTATTTTATTTTATTTTATTAACCTAAAAGAGTGTAACTTTTGTACAAAATTTTATCAACATATCTCTAGCCGTTCAAACAAACTGGCCAAGTTTAGTTTTGGCAAAAAATCATAAAACACCCTATATCTCAGAAACAAGTAAGATAAAGGCTAAGTATGGGGGTGTTTTGAACTCAGCTAAGTGTACTCTACCTACCATTAAGCTGTGTCCGTTTAAATCTGAAACACCCTGTATAATTCAGAGCGACTCCAGTAGTGGGATAGTGAAGGATTTTATCTAAACCCATCCATAAAAGCAAGCCTAGGAAAATATGCATTTCGGCTGAATTAGTTTCTGCGACCAATTATTTAGTCGAGAATGACGTTTGAAATTTTCTCAAGTATAATTTGTTCAGCATAACGATTTGTTTCAAGTACCATACGATCAATAAGTTCATCGTCAACGAAAAGTTTGAATATGTCTAGTTCCGTTTTTCCTGTCAATTGTTCAAGAACATTAGGAGGGATGCCGTGTGTTTCATCAAATGTATAACTTTTTAGATTACGACCAGAAGGGGTTTTCCACGTTATATTATCATCATCGACAAAAATTGTCCTAGGGTCATCGTTTGAAAACCGCAAAAGTGGAATATCGTCATCACTAGAGTTGGATTCATCAGAATGCGAAAGTGTTACTTGATTTTGGATCCCTAAAAACACTTAGAGAAAAAACAAAATAACAAAAACCGTGTTTCTACCTTTTTTTATAATTCAAGATGTACCAGGGGTGCGGGTATCTACTCTTCGCATTTAAGCCGAACGTGGATAGTTTTTTCTGTCTCCAAAAATAATTGGCAATTATAATAAAGAAAACATAATGCTTTCTATTTTACCTTTTTTTCTATCTTCGGAGTTAGGTTGACGAACATCTTCTGAACTATCACTGGTACTTGGACTATAATTTCTGTCAGCATCGGAGCCGTCAAACTGTTCGTATTCGATGCCTTCCACTTCATCGTTACTCATATCGTCAAAAACCTGCTCCACCAATTGTTCTAACTGTTTTTGATCTTTTTTAACTTAGTATCAACAATTTTCTCACACCATAGTAAACAAAAAACAAATACCAGAATAATCTCCGTTGCAATAGCACGTGCACACAAAATATCGCAAAACTGACTGAACTCTGACTCACGCCACTCGTGCTCCAACATGATTCCAAGTGTGTAGTGCACACTTCACTGAGGCTGATTTTATATATTATGTAAACAAAAGTGTGAAACCAGGTTCTGTACCTTGTTTAAATTTGGGACCTCTTAAACCATTGAATACAAATATTGGTGCAAGCTCAAGTTAACAGTTTTTTAAATAAAATGATAAATGCTAGGTAAAAAATATATATTTTTTAGTCAAACCAATGAAAGTAGTGATTCTGTAAAATGCAGTGCCTTATTATTTAAACAGAAATATCAACATGATAATAAAGAAAAGGAAAATCATCAGTAGGCATCCTATCCTTCAGAGATTTTTTTATCGTATTGGTATATTTTTGAAAATAAAATTTTTCAGTACTGGAACCACGGAGAAAGGATATCTGGAACTTTATTAAACTAAAAGGCGTATTTTTAGTAATGAACATAGTAGCTGGTGACATACGCTGGTACTGAGATATACTCCACATCATTCAGCAACTCAGAATCATATAATGAAGAGATGTTCCAGGAATATGATTTTCCACACGAAATAGTTCAAAATTTAGATTTTATAATGATGACAGGTATGTTGTTTAAATATCAATATACAATATCGTCGGTTGACAGGTACCTCAGAGGTAAACCGCACTATGCGACATAGTGTAGTTTTATGAAAGTTACATTTTTAAAACTCAGCTGATCGAGAGACCTATTCAGGGTTATACTACACCATGTATTAGTGACGTCACAATAAAAGTTAGCCAAAAAATATAACACTATGTTCAATAAACTTACAATGTAAACAACACTGTGCAGATAGTGTTTTTAAGTCTTAGGTTAGATATATAGATGGATGTTTGAGGTATATGACACTATGTGCTATTGTCACGCTTCGTATAAATTCATATTTTTCCTAATTTTAATTAATTATTTAAATAACATCCTGTACATAAAACTTTGTTTAAGTATGTCCACAATTTGTTTTGAATCGCAATCATGTGCAAGGTTGAATATTTAATAATTATTGAACATTAGTTTTAATAACAATAAACTATGAAAAAGTTGTAAAGGTAATGTCGAGGGGATGCGCAGGGCTTTTTTCCACAGGGAAGGATCCTCCCCATAGGAGGCCCTCCTTGTAGGGGATTCCCAGTAGCAAATCGAGCTCATGATCTTCATAGTCTAAATTAAAAGTCTTTATTTTGTATTTTGAATAATCGCATTTTAAATAGTTAGCTAAGGGTTGTGACATGTGCCCCAAATATTAGTGGAGTTGGTAAGTAAGTATTTTATTGTCTTTTTTATTATATTGAGCCTATATTTGTGTATGTCGAGTTAAGACATATTTTATATAATCGTTGTAATTATAATATATATCTTTTAGTATAAAAATCACAGGTAAGCAAGATTAAAGACAAACGAAATCAAGTACTTAAGAATAATTATCGATTAAAATCTAAAATGCCATCTTCATAATTGCATGGAATTTGCGTTGCTAGGGACAACTAATATTATAGCTCAATTAGATTCTGCTTATTGGTTAAATATACAGAGACATAATGAAAATGTCTCAAAGAATAGGTATATTTTATCCAAAATTATTAATTGCATTAAGTTTTGTAGAGTTTTTGAACTGGCTCTTCGGGGACATGATGAAAGCGATTCTTCCGAGAATCCAGGGATATTTCGTGGACTTATAAATTTCTCAGCTGAATTAGATAAGTGACCACCTAAAAAATTCTTCGGTATTTAAAGGCACCTCTAAAGAAATACTGAACGATAGGGTTACAGTGTCTGCTCGATGTCTGTCATAAACAAATAATTGAAGAAATTAATAATTCTCCATTTTTGGCGATCATGGCGGACGAACCAACGGATGTTGCTGCAAAAACTCAACTGGTAGTTATATTTAGAAATGTTCGCAATGGTGAGCCAATTGAACGTTTTTGGAACTACTTAATTCCTGAAAAATGTGATGCAGAAACACTTAGTAAAACAATTTTATCTGTTATAGATCCTTTATTTCAAAATTCACCGCAAAGTGATTGCACAAAGTTTTAATGGAGCCGCGGTGATGAGCGGCCAACACGCAGGTGTTCAAGCGTTAATTAAAAAAAAGTATCCTTTTGCTCACCATGTACATTGCTATGCCCATCACTTAAATTTAATTATGTCTAAAGCTGCTTCTGCAAATTCGCAAGTACGTGTATTTTTTGGAAATTTACAAGATATTCCGGGCTTTTTTAATAATTCACCCCAGCGAGTAGAAGTCTTAAACAAGATTGTGAAGAGAAGTATCCCCACGGCGCTACAACCCGTAGGAATTTTAATATAAGGACCATTAATGTTGTATACGAAAATAGATCGTCTCTCATTGAGTGTATGCATGAAATAGAAGAACAATTCGCCAACAACACAGTCTGTAGTGCAGCCGCCTCTATTCGCCGTACATTAAATGATCCGATCTTCAATTTTTGGCTGACTTTTTTTCATGTGATGCCCCACGTAGACATCCTATTCAATCAACTACAGCAAAGAAAAATTAAACCCACTCTAGTAAAAGACGCTATCGATAATTTTGAACGCAGTATCACTCAAGTTCGAAATAATATTGACAGCATCATTGCGTTCGGTCTGCCAAGTTCCTTCAACTCCTTTAACACTTTTTATTCCAAACGACCCTTTTAGCGTTCGGTTTAGTCCGATTAGTGACAGTTTAATACGCTTAAATGTCATTTAAAAGCACCATAAAAAAACTCCGCTTTTGTCCCACTCCAGCCCCTGACTATCCGAACTCGCCTACTGAAGCATTAGATATAATAAGCGACCAGCTATCATAAAATAAACGCAAGCGCCCAAGTAATAGCAAATTTGATCATCGGATTTCTGCTTTAGAGGTGTGTGACGTTATCCTAAATTGTGAAAAGATGGATTTGTTTTTAAAGAGCATCTATAGTAGTTGCCTCAATTTTTTTTCAGAATGCTTTGGAGAGTATTGTGGTAAATTTCACGAGGATAAACTCACTTTCGCATGCTCCTTTTATCGCACACTTGACAAAGAATGATTGCGAACTGAACTGTCTGTTATTTATTCAAGAAATGATTGCAGGACATTGAATGGCGCACTATCTCTACTAAAATTTTTAATATCAAACAATCTAGGAGATACGTTAAAGGAGACTAGAAAATTATTAGAAATTGTAACAACTCCTATGACAACATCAGAGGCCGAACGATGTTTCTCAACACTAAATCGAATCAAAACGTTTCTCAGAAATTCAATGACAGAATATCGTTTAACAGCTCTTTCAATGCAATCTATTGAAAAAAGTTTACTTCCGAAATAAACAATTTTAATGAAAAAAGTTATTACAAAATTTGCGAACCAAAAAGAACGTAGGATAGACTTAATTTATAAAAAATAGACTATAAAATCGCACTGTTTAAATTGTTCACATCATTTTCTTAAACATTTTGTATTTTTCTTGAAGAAAATAGAGTACAGTAAAATAGTGCTTGGTGTTTCTTTTTTTTTTTGTGTGTGGCAATCGTTCCAGCAATCCATCATTCAGCAAGCCCGATCAAATCGATGGGACTTTGACTAAGAAGACAACTCCCCTGAAAGGTAAGCTTTTTTTGCAAAATTGCAGAGCACCATAAAATTTTTACCACGAGTCGCCACTGATACAGAGGATATTTGCAATATTCGATCACTATATTCTCGCAAGCTATATGCTTTTAAAACAAATTGTTTTAGAATAGTTAGTAGGTACCTTCTTTTGTATACCAAACCCATAGTACTGATAATTAGTTTCTATCCTCCCGAAGATTTAGAAAAAATATTTATCGTATAAACATTTTTCAACTGTTTCTAGAAAATTTATTTTTCATAATTATCTATATTAGATTTGTAAAATTTAAGAAATTAAAAGAAATTAACAGATAGAATAGTTATACACAAAGTCAAAATCTTTCGAAAAAGACGTTTTGGATTTGCTCCAGAAGTGCTCTGTCATTGCAGGTGGATTCAAGCTAATATTTCTTGGAAGATTCTGAAGATGCTTAACTTATTTTATTGTAATGTTATATTAAATGTATTTTTAATGTGCAAAAACAAACATAAATGTAGAGCTATAGTAAAATTCGTCTTTTAATCGATTAAATTTTCCTTGATATAAGAATTTCAAAGTAAGGAATTACTTAAAATAATTGAATTTGTATGAAATTTTTCCGTTTTATCATTTCTATCAACAAAAAAGAAACATTTTTTTCCAATTTAAACCTTTAGGGCAGTTAATTTGAAACACCCTGCACAATTTTTAAAAATAGTGCATAAGTGATTTTCTTGATATTTAAACAATATAAATTTAGTCACCAAAAAAGATACATTTCTTGTTTATTTTTATACTCTTTGTTGTTACCTGAAAATTTGAAATACCTTGTAAAATGTTTAAAAATAATACAAAAGTCATTTTCTTAATATTTTAATAATATTAGTTAAATTTATGAGCTTTGTTAAAAGATTAGGTTTTGGCCCGATTTTTTAATTTTGCCCCACTTGCGTCGTACGAAAGTAATTCTGTGGGCCACATTTGCTCCACAATAATTGAGGATTCAAAAATAATTTTGGTTTTTAGTAAAAACAGTGGAGTACCATTTTTTTTTCTTTGCAAATGTTCAGTTCAGATAAAACAATTGTGATAAAAAAGGTATTTTTTTCTTAAAACTGTAACACCCTGTAGATCAAAAAATTAAAAGGTTTACGACATATGTTGATATTAATTTTTCTTCTTAAAATTACCCAAGAATTCACACCTTTAAGTATCGGCACTCAATTAATAAATACCCTGTATATTTAAGTTAACATTTACATAAAACATATGATTAGTACTAGTTGCAGGTAAATAAATTTTTTAGCATCGTACAACTGCCATCGTGATAAAAATGCAAAAAATATAATACGATTTGAAAAATCGTTTTTTAAAAAAATATATTTTTATTTAAACAACAAGTACAATATTTTTATGACTTTATTAATTGAATCGGTTATTTCGAAAAGGCCACAACTCCAGAAATGGTAATTTTACAGGAGATAAAAAAAAACGTTTCATATTGGAATTCGTGAGGTTATGCTTCTGTTTTCCGAATAAAGTGTCAAGATGTAATGCAAAATGAAGTTTCATTTATGAAAAAAAAAGAAAATCAAATTAAGTACACTGAAAAAAATTATTTTGTTTTAGGAGTTGTGGCCTTTTCCAACCAAACACTGATGATTTTATAACTAATAAAAAAACTAGCATTACTAATGAATAATTTATTAGATGACAACAAAAAAAATGTTTAAAGTTATCAAATATGTTATTTAAAAGTCTTCTTCGGGTGATTCATCTTGTTTAGTAGTAGGCCATAAAATCAGTTCATTGTAAAAAAACACTTTATCGTCTGGTACATACTGGACAAGTTTCTTAATATTGTCCATTTTCTTGAAATTAATAGGAATTTTTCCTGAGTAAGCAGGCTCTGATGGCAAATCAGGACACACTCCAGCTGGTTTTCCCAAGGAAAATTCATGGAACATGAGCCCATCAATAAATGGACGTACTTTAACAATCCCTGGTTTTCTGCAGTCATACTCGAATTCATTATACTGTGAAATTTGAAAAGTTATTTTCTCATCTTTGATTTTTTTCTGATAGGAGTCAATAGATAGTACGGTTTTCTTGTAATACTTGGGCCACCATTTCTTGAAGTCCAGAATGTTTTCATTATGAACCCTTTCTATTGAAAAGAGAGATTTACTTGATGATCGTTCTATTAACTCATAATATTCTTCAGGAAGAAAAATGCGGTCCTGCTTGCGAATGAGCCTTTTTGCTACCCCAAAGTCTCTGTCGCACGGTAGAAATGAGTGGCCCCTGATTGGAAAATAATGTACAATTTTATTGAATCTTCCCGAGGATGCAAGGGCTAAAAGGAATCGAACTACTGTGTGGTTCTTGTTTTGGCCCGCGCAACCATCTGAAAATATATGAACTTCTTTGACATTCTCTGAAACTTCATGCTCAAAATAGTGTTTTAAGAAAGTACACACTTCATTGGGTCCTTTGTAAGCCTCGCCCTCATGATAAGAATAAAATTTAGCTTCTCCCGTTTTTAAGTTATGAATACTGAACTCAAAAACCCATAACTGTCGGTAATAAAAAATTTCTTGCACAGGTATGTCTGGTATTGGTAAATTTTGCATGTAATCCATTGTGATTCCCAGTATTTCGCCAGTCTCTGAAGAGAGCTTTTTAATCTGATCTAATTTTTTATAAAATTTCTTAGCTTTGTTTTTATGAACCATGAGTTCGGCAACAGCAACTCGTTTTGCAGTATCATTGAGGGTCGTGCTTTTAACTTTTTGGCCAAGTTCTTCACAGGCAGAACACACATCAACTTGAGGACGACCAAAAAAATATGTAAAATTTTCATGAAAGTACTTTAAATAAAAACTATATTTTACTTTAGAGTCAGGAAATTTGTCGATAAACATTTTATGCATTTGTTTAACATCCAACGTAGCAGGTAAATACTTTTTCACTACATTAGCATAATGGACTTCCTTTACATCGAACAACTTTATATGTTCATTTATTTGAAAGCACACCTCAGCTGGTATTAAATTATGCCTAGATTTAATAGATTTACCTCTATTATCTCTTGGAGTGGTTCCCGACGTTAGTAGATGGCATAATCGTCTAACATGCTTTTCGCCAACTCCATATAAACTCAAAAATGCTTTCTTGCATACATGCTTACGTACTCCGTTTAAACAAGTATTAAACAAAAAATTATTAGGTCTCTCTATACGCTTAATGGCATTTTGAGATTTTCTGGTTCTCTTAATGGGAGCTACTTCTATCAGACCTTGCAAATAGGAGTCTTGTGAGTTTTTGTTATCAAAATCATGTAACGATGTTAACAATGCACGTTTGTCAATTTCTGAATACTGTTCACAACATTTTTTGCGGCAACTACAGTTGATTCCAGTTTTTCGCGCCAAAACCTTTTTTCCGACATGATTAAAATGTGCCTCACCTTTCACTTTGGCCTTCTTAATAACTTCACTTTTATACTGGGTACGATTAATCACGCCTTTCTTTCGTTTTCTTTCTTCATTTTCAATAACTGCACTACTTTCATCTTCAGAGCTACTCATTTTGTATAAACAATGCACAAACCCAATCGTAGTAACATTCAACTGAGACTGAACTAAAAACTAAAACGACTGCCTGTTATTGCCACCAACAGCGGCTGAATCATCACATGTGATGCGTGCGCACTTTATTTCGA